GAGGTTTAGAGATATTTAGAAATATTATTGCAAGGAGAAGGAAAAAGGGAGATCCTGGGACTTCTGGTACAGCCAGGGTAGGGACAAGTAAGGGTGAAGTTGATGGTGAAAATGTTGTGAAAATTGATAAAGACAATAATAAAATTGCTTGAAATTAGCTCTGTTAGCTCTGATAGCTCTGTTAGCTATCTGAAACAAAATTTGATTGTTCTAAAAATAATTCAAGAAACTGGAGAGAGTCTGTTTAAGCACAGTAACTTCCAGGTGAAGTCTTGCATTTTTTAGCTCTCAAAACTTTGTCATTCTTAACTCTCCATAATGAACAAGTCTTAATTTTGGTGCTTATCCATGAAACAGCTGTCACAATGGGAGACCTTTGGAGCTGAAAACTTTCTCACCCACCCTTTGCTGCAGCACACTCTTAAGACCGATGGAATGACTTGGCACAATCTTGCTGTCATGTCAGTAAAGAAGACTGTAGGATGACCTAATGGAACTTTTGCAGCCCTTAATACCCACAGACACTCTCAAGTCATCTTATGCAGCTGCCAAGTTCATTTGCACAAGTGAGCAACTGCCTCGATGCTTGCCAAATATTTTTGCTGCCAGTATACCCCAGTATATTCAGTGATGTGTAACACAACCCTTCTTATCTGCCGAATCCTCTTAGAGTTTCTAATAAGCACAGGGGTATCAGAGTTTCACTTCGGCTTCGGATCCAGTCTTGCAATCGTTCTCTTGTTTTTAAGATTCTTGGGCTTCTTGGTAACTACAAATGCCAAACCCAGTCTTTCCAGAGCTATTTTGCCTATACAGTGTTAAACAAAAATAGGCACCTTTTAGACCTACTTTGGGATTACCTCTCTGTGAGCAGAGCACCCTTAGAGAGTTCAGTAGTCATTTATCTGTTGATCTGGTATTTCTTGCTCTAAGAGGTCCCTGCCTGAATGTTTTAATCCACTATAATTCACTGCATTCAAGTCTGCTCTAAACTTCATCTTTCATGATGTTCTTTTTGTGGTCTCCTCCTTAATCATGTAATTTATTTTATTTGTCTTTTAATTGTGTACTTTATAGAGATCAGAAAGCCTGAAAATATAATGGAGGTATTCTCCCTCAATTCTCTTTGGCAAAGGATCCTTTCCAAAGGATCCTTTCCCTCTCTTTTCTCTCTCTGGTTTAAGAAGTTATCTTTTATAGGATTTTCTGTCTCACATACATCTAAAGTGAAATGGGCCACTTGCTGCAATTATTGGTCATGATCCACATCTGTCACTTGGCTTCTAAAATCTGGATCCATTGAACTTTTTCAACAATTTATTTCATAGTAGTTTGGCCACTTTAATCCCTATCTACTTCTATCTGCGATTCATTCACCTCTTGATAGCTCTCCAGAAAGCACTATTTGTGTCTTTTTTGTTTTTTTTTGTATTTATTCTAGACTTTTCTGCCTCAAACCCCCAAATTTATTCTACCTGTAGCTTTTAGTACTGCCAAACTATTTTAAATTCAGCATTAGCAATGGGCTGTTGCTCAGTTCTTGAATAATCTAATCTCGCAGCTCCCATTTTTCATGAATTTCCAAATATGAAGATTGCATCCACTTCAAAACCAAGAATTCTAACATTGAAATTGGGAAGAATATGGTTTGTTTAAAAGAATCAAATAAAAGCCCGTGTTTTGTGAGCACTCATCAGCACAGGGAAGGGGCAGAAACACAACAGGGCTGGAGGAAGAAAGAAATTCGACTTTTGGCAATGTCCCACATTTATTAATTAACATTTATGTTAAGCAAAATATTAAGCTGTAGGCCTGGCAGAAAAATAAAATAAAATGATTAGTCTTTAGCTGGATCATCTCCCTGAAGTGGCTGTGTGCACTCTGTTGTGTAGTAAGTGTGCGTGTTGGTGGGCAGCATAGGATGAAGGGTGGACTGTGGCAACTTTGCTTTTTGTTTGTAATCCCCTTCAAACTAAAACTTTGGAGCTCGAAGAAGTCTGAATGTCATGTTAATATGCAGCCCTCTCACCTTCTGTGATTTGTGATTTCTCACCCAAATACTGATGTGACCTTAGGCTGATGAGCAGAACTACCAAAAACAACAAACAGAAACCACTAAAATAACCCCCCCACCACAAAAAAAAAAAAAAAAGAAACAGGAAAAAAATCTTGTTTGGCAGCCAGCTTCATTTTTACAAGGGTTATTTTACACTCTTGCAGAACAGTAAGTAATTCAGACTGATTCCTTCAGGCACTTGCTCGAAAGAAAGCATTGTGGTGGTGTTTTGTGGTAATGGCATTAGCGTGGAAGGTTGGTGAGTGTTAAGCTGTCAGGTGGTGAGTAACCAAGTTTAGAGGGTTCTGTGCTTGGAGTTGCCACGCCTGGCAGCTGGGCACAAGAGGGGCTGCTGCAGCTCCTTGGGGCTGGCTCCAACCCACAGTGAGGGGGTACGTAGTTGTTCCCAGGAGGCACACGGGCACGTGCATGCACTACACTACATACGTGGCCAGCTGCACAGAAAACAGCCCTTGTACAGACAGCAGCAGCATCAAAGGCCTCATCTTTTCCTTTCTGTGGCTGACCATGATGAAAGGATGGATCCTTCTATGACAAGTTCTAGATGCTTCTCTTCTGCATTGCCTGGTTTCCCAGCTGCCTCGCCCCCACAGACACAAACAGAGTGGTCTCTGGCAGCTGCTCTGATTTATCACCTTTCCAGTAGCCAGCCCACAACCTCTCTGCTCTCTCCAGCATCTGGCCAGACTCAAAGCTACTCCTTTTTATGGCTCCCACAATTCTTACCCTATTTGCTGGCTACTCTGGCTCAGTGCTGTCAGGGATCGTGCACAGACATGTACCAAGGCAATGTGCATGGGTTCTGACCTCTGCTTGCTGGCACCCTGTGCACCTGGGTCCCTGTGTGTGACCTGTGGTCCAGCTCCAGTTCCTGGACGCACTTCCATTCACACTTGAACACACAGAGTAAGGATTCCTCTCACCCAGGAAAGTAGTTACAAATGCAGTTTAATAAGAAGTGAGGACAAACAGCAGTGACAGGCCCAGGGCATGGCTGGACTACTGCACTGAGCCACTCCTGCTGACGTGCATCTGGGCCCCTCTTATCCCATTTCCCCAGTATTTGCTTGTGCTTCTTCCTTCCCCGAATACTTTCATCCCTCACTTTTCTTGCCCTTGGTTCTTCCTTTAAATATCCTGTACTAAGCCTTGTGCAATCCTAAAATACTCTTTCTGGCAGCTCATAATGAGTCCCATGTCCCAGTGGGCAGTCACAACCCCCCCTCCCCTGTCTGCAAGGTGATCTAGAGAGCCTCTCCCATCAGCTCTCTGTCATGGCCCCACTCCTGAGCCCTTGTGCTGTTGTGTTTCTGCAGCAGACATGGTAACAGCCAGACTAAGAGCTCTGCCCTTTTTGCTCCAGTTACTGGGGTCCCTCTGTCCAGTGCTGGTTATCTGTGCTGCTCTGTGTTTGTGGGGAGGAGCCTTTAATCACACAACCTAATTGTCTTCTTTTGTCACTGAAAAGTCATGAGATTGGGCATTGCACAGCTGCTCTAGCATATGAGGGCACAGTGTGGGCTCCCTTATGACTCCTGGATTCCAACACTGCCAGCAGCCTGAAGTTCCTAAAGCATAATCCATTTTGGTTTTTATTTCTTGTACTTACAAAAGAGCAACCAAGTACAATAAAGAAAAAACACACCAACATCCAGCTCTTTACTGTAGTAAAGAGCAAAGGGAGGGGAAATAAGGAAGGATTAGGAGTTTGAAAGTACTGGTTTTCATACAGTGCTTCTAACCACACTAGTATTTTGTTTCTCAAAGTCTGCTGAAATGGGCTTCAGACTATAAAATGCTTGATTTGATGTTGGCTTGAAAACAGCGCCAGCAAAGCAGGCCGGTTGCAAACACGAGGTGCTATGTGTGAGGTGTCAGCATTTGTTCCAAACACGCTTCTTGTTCTACCTGCTGGCTGATCTTTAGCAGCTGAAGCCTTGCCTCTGCTTTGGCTTTTCTCCCCCTTAGAGCAAGCAAGTTTATACCCAGATCTTTATTGCCTTCAGATATTTTAGACTATAATTAGGTTCCTCTTGCCCTCACCCCCCTTCCAGTCTCCCTTGTTTTCAAGGCTGAACATGTTAAGCTCAAGAGGCTGTTGCCACTATCTCAGATTGTGTTTGTTTCCACGCTCTGGACTCTCTCAATGACGTATGTCATTTTTCAGACTTGGTTTTGGGTTTCATGAGCACCTTTTATGTGTGGGCTTCTTTTTTCTTTTCCTTTTTTCTTATTTGTTAATTTAGTTTTGACCGCAGAAATGGAAAGTCCGGTGTGCTTTTTTGTGCTAAGGCTTGGCTTAAGGTGATAGAATTCTGAGCAAACATAAGAAATGCACACCCCTCTCATTAAAAAGAATCAGATTTGTATCCTGAGAGAATGCCTAGAAGTATTACCATGAAAGCAGACTGTTCCTCGGTCCCTGTATCCACACGCCGCAGTGCGCTCAGTAAATCTGTCGTGATTGAATGTAACCTTTATTGCATGTAGCCCAAGAGTTAGCTCATGCCATTTCGCAGCCGCCCGGCCTGAATGGCGATGACACATGCGTTACAAGGCAGGCATGTTTTAGCAGGGCACAGCTGCAGGCTGAAGTTCTAATAAAAAGCTGATTCAGGGCTCACGCTGCAGTGTTTGGGGTTTTCTCGCTGGGATTTTGGTGTTTTTCGCTGTCGTTCAGCGTTCGGCCAGGAATAGAAACTGCCTCTTTAAGAAGCCTCCGTGTAGGTAGCAGGAGCAGCCTGCAGAATGCAGGGGAAGCTTAGCTTTGCTGCGAAGCCCGAGTGTAACCTAACTAGCTAGGGGATATGCAACTGCTGATTGACAGCAGGACCAGCATTATGCAAATGCTGCGAGAGCGGCGGCAGCCGGGGAGCGGTGCTGGGGGCTCTGTTAGGGAGCTCTCTACACACGCGGCGCTCAGCGCGCTGTACGTGCTGCGCTCGCTGCTCCTCCTGCCCGGTTTAACAGTCAATAAACGGCACAAAACAATTGTTGCTTTTTGGGGACGTCGTGGCGTGTAAAATCTCGAGTGCGGTTTCAGTTTGAGATACGTGTGAGAGAGCCGGAGCTATGTGTCAGAGCTCGTTACTCAAGCTAAATTAGGTAATTTTTAGCTGGGTAATGTGCTAATCTTTAAACCTTTATGTTTTTAAATCCTGCGTACGTCTGGTCTCTTCATACAAAAGTGTATTTTGCTTGTTTCTTCTCGTCTTCTTCAGTCTGAAGCCTTATGTAGGTCAGGCTTGGCTTAAGCAGATTTCCTGAACCTGCGTCAGCTTAAGCTGAAGGAATTTTAATAAACCCTCCCTTGTAGGCGTGGGCCTAAATGAGACTAGCCTAGTTAAGCCTGATCTTTTTCTGTTTGTGAAAAAGAGCTGAGCAGAGCTAGGGACTGCATGGTGGCTTCGGGAGCTGCTTCCTTAATTCAAAGCTAACAATGGTCGGGAAGGCCAGATCTTCTAATTTCACCTTATCTGAAAAGCTCGATTTGCTAAAACTCGTGAAGCCTTACGTTAAAATTCTCGAAGAACACACCAATAAGCATTCTGTAATAGTGGAAAAAAACAAATGCTGGGATATCATAGCCGATAACTACAATGCCATCGGAGTAGATCGCCCGCCTCGCACCGCACAGGGCCTGCGCACGCTGTACAAGAGGCTCAAAGAATATGCCAAACAGGAGCTATTGCAGCAAAAGGAGACTCATTCAGACTGTAAAAGCAGCATTTCCGAGCCAACCAAGAAAGTTGTGGAGATGATTCCACAGATTTCCAATGTGTGTTTAAGAGACAGGAGCGGTGTACAAAGGTGAGAGAATTCTTTTTATTTTGTTACTGAATGAAAATGATGGCGCCTCCTATCTGCCGTGTAACGCTTCTCGTGTGTTCGGTGTCCTAAAAGAAGTGTTTGCAAGGGAAAATCCCAAAGCTGGGAACAATGACAAAATCATATTGCTTTTGTTTTATGGCCAGCTTTATGGTGACTTAGCACTGCATTCATTTCAAAGCCTGTTTCAGTCTTTGTCATACTCCGGAAAGTGAGGGTTAAGGGAGAATCAAAGAGAAATAGTAGCTCTAACCTCTACCCCTCCCCTACCTTTTAATAGGCAGATTATTCAAACACTGGCAAAGTGATGGCTATTCTCCTCCATTTAAGGCAATACTGCAGTCATTTTACAACATATGCAACTGTTATCGGTTTATGTAAGATTTTTGATAAAGTTAGTTTGCAGAGCTAGGAAACCTTGCTCAGAGGGCTCGTTTTGCCTCGTTTGCTCTTAAGTGCACATTGTTTTATCTGATACCAATCCTTTACTCCTCACACCACAGTGACTTTGTGAGTGCAGACGTTCTTTAAAAATTTTACTTTTCTTGCATTGATGGTAATTCTCTGAAACTGGAGCAGAGCTAATTGCAGTCTAAACTCCAAGCAGTTCTGTGCTGTATGCTGGGCAGCTTAAACGCACACGAAGAGAAACTGAGAGATACAGCAATAGAAGTTTTCTTTTTTTGTAGGGCTTTTTTTTTTTTTTCTTTTTTTCTTTTTTTTAACTGCTCAGTAAAGTGAGGCACACTGTCTAGATTTGAAGCCAGACATAATACAGGCAGGCAGCACACAGGCTTTCTTACACAGCTGGCAAATGCCTCTCGTATCTGACTTGCAGCACTCTGCTGGTTCTGTATTGGTCCTCGAGGGATCCAAAAACGCCGGGGTCAGGTTTTGGTTCCTCCAGATACAAAAGTAAGCTTGGCAGGAGGGATAAAAGCCAAATAAATCCCCACAAATCTTGAGAAATCTCTGATTTTTTTTTTTTTTTTCTCCCTTTCACAAACGGATTAATGGGAAGTGAACTTTCCATATTTCAATCAGATATACAGATAGTTGGTGCAACAGCTAAATGCTCTAAGAAAAGCTGGCATGTGTACAGAGGATGAATTTGATTCACAGTGCCACTGGTTGAACTGAATGGTAACAATTGTGTAAATCCCAACATGCCAGATGCTTTAAAAATATGCTGCTGTGGGTCCTTGGCGTAAAGGAGTCTGAAGCAACTGGGCTGCACTGCTGCTCCTGGTGAATGCCCCTGAAGGAACAGTTCCAAAGAATTCTCTGGAACAAAACGAGGCTTTTAATTGCGCTAATAAAGGTTGCAGTGTCTCGACTACCAACTTCTGTAAAGAGGAAAAAAAAACAATAGTGGGAGAACTTTGGTTTGCAGATCGGCTTATGAAAAGCAGCGCCGCTTTTCATGAATGATTAAGACCTAATGATCTCCATCATTTGTCTCCTGTAATGTAAACGTTTTTTGCAGTCCTTTATGGCTCTGGGAACGTTGACTTGATTACTGCTTACCCCAAATGGCAGTTCCTAGGGACAGCCAAGGCACTGCCTGTGGAAGGGAAAGAATATCATCTAAATATTTTTTTTTCTGCCCAAATACATCATTATTTTGTAGTTCTGATTTTAACTAAGATGCATTTCATCCTGATTTTGAGAGCCCAGTATTGGGTTTTAAGTCTCTAGTATATGGCTCAGCTTTTTGGAGGGGAATACAACTTATAATGAATCCAAATTCTTAATTGCACCTTTAAGCAATTTCTAGCTCACTGTGATTAAACAAAACCGAGTGAATCATGGGTGCCTCTGGGGTTATAAATACCATCCCCCAGTTGTGGTAACTGTTGTTTTTCTTTCAGTCAAGTTGTCAGAAACAACATTAGTAACCACCGTGCAGGCGTTCCTTTTGTTTCTCAGTTCCTTCTTTCTCTCTTCACTAATTGGTTTCTTTTTAAGAGGCTGATTCTAAGGGGAAAAAAAAACAAAACCCAACCAACAGCTTCATCTGAGTTACCTGAAGACTTGGTCATTTTCAAATCCTGTGTGGAATATGCTGTAAGAGATCAATTTGTCACTAGACACCCTACTCCATGTTAGACCAATCCTCACCTCTCTTTCTTCTCTTAACCTCTCGCACTTTCTCCTTCTGCCCCCTCCCTCTGTTCCCTTTTGTCAGAATGATCTGCTTCTCCTACTAAGTTGTTTCCAGGTTTCTCAGGCTAGCAGCTGGCCAGGAGCCAGCAAATAAATAAGAGGGAAGCTGCGTTCGAAGCTGTGGTTGGGAAGGGGGAGACCCAGAACTAGTCAGCAAGGGGAGAAACAGTGAAAATTTGTATGCGGGAAAGTACTTCTGATGCTTCAAGAAAGGAGGGAATGGAGTGTGAGAAAGGTGTAGAGAAGCAGGTGAAGCTTCGAGGCTTGAGGGAGTAAGGTGGTAGAATCGATGCTTGATATGCAGCTCAGGTGACAGTGGGCAGAGTTAAGATTGCTTTCTTCAGGGATAGATGAAGGTTCTGTTTTCAATTCCTGCTTCAGATAGAGTTTTTCTTTTTGAAAGCCCTAATTTAAATGGTTTGGGTGGTTGGCAGAACTGATTTTTGGAAACACATTTCTCAGACCCTGTTGAACATTCTTGCAATTGAATATTTAGCAGTTTTTATGCTTTTGTTCTTGAAATTGCTGGTTCATGTTAGTGGATGGTGGACTAGCTAGGATCCTTTGGAAGTTGCAGCCGTGGCTGCTTATTTCTGTTGAATCAAAAGTTTTGAAGACCAAAGCGAGATGCAAAGGGGATAATGCTTTCTTTTGATGTCTCTGCAAGGAGTCAGCACACTTACACAAGAAGTATGATACACAAATCAGAATTCTCCCGTGTTTCTGGGAATTTGAACCCAAATCTGCTGCTAACCAGGGCAGTGTTCTTAATGATCAGATAGTGCTCCTCAGACTGTGGCTTGTAGTGCTCACGAGGAGTTAAAAATAAATAAATAAAAATATATGTATACTCACCTGCCTCCATTTTAATAGACAGCACTCATGTCCTCCAGGGTTAGGGCACATCTGTGAATGTTGTATTAATCATGGATCCACTCACTGCCTTTAGCTGCTAGTTCTTCAAGGGCTGAGGAATGTCTCCCATCTGCAATCACTAGCCATAGCCTCCTTTTTAAACAGTCATGGCTGTGGTGGTGCACTGTTTTTGCTCTCAGTGCCAGGTTAACACTTCACTGTTCCCATATGACACGGTACTGCCTCCCAAGTCATGCTGAAGGTGTTCTTTGTAGATCTGTACTGTCAAATAGTTCAAAAAGTGGATCAGGGCTTACAAAAGTATTACCTCTGTAAAGGAGTGATGTGCAGAACTATAGGGTTTCAGACACAACTGATGGTGGAGAAATAGACAGGAGCAGCTTGAGCCATTAATATAATCAGAGCCAATGTAATGTCAAATCATGACTGGAGGTGCTGCTGACTCAGGAGTTTACACAAAGGCAGATGAGTCAAGTGGGTGTTGTACTTTAGAAAAGCTGGAAAAATGCACAGAACTATGGGCTTGTTCTTAATGGTAACATTTCCATGCCCTCTCTTGAAACTTCAGAAAACCAGTGAGATCATTGGTTCAAAGGGAAGGAACAAGGATTAGCTTGACTCCTTGATCTGCTGACAGGGTCATCATCTGGGCTGTGGTTTTTTCTCCCCAGGCTTCTTGAGTCATTTTATTCAGTGATTGTTTTACCAAAAAAGCAACAAATAAAAAGAAAAGCTTAAACATTTAGGTTCATGAGTCAGAAACAGAGAATGCATTAGAACAGGAGGAGATTAGTAAGTTTGGGAGATGGAAATGTTTCTGCAAGTTTATGGCCTTTTAAAATCACTTTCTAGATTACACAAAATGTTTCCTCTGTCACTTGCATCACCTTCTGCTGCCGCTTTGTTTTTATTCTCACTTATCAGTAATGCTTGCTTATCCTGTTTCAGAATAAGAAGCTCCCAGGATTGTTCACCATAGGCTGCACTGCCTTCAGATTAGCAATGCCATCTAAATCATACGGGGCTGTGTGTATGTGGTGGAAGGAAGGAGGGATGCAGATGGTGGTCATGTAACAAAGCAGAGGTCCAGGCATGGGTAGCACAGAGTAATATTTCAAGTGAAGCTTTGATTACTTACAACTCTGTTTGTTTGTTTGTTTTGTAGTTTTTAATGAATTACTTAAATATGATTTTGTGTGTTCTAGCACTAATATCGATAAAGAAACAATTGCTGGTACCAGTTCACCACAGGCAATGTTGGATCACCATCCTGCTACAGTCATGATGGATTTGCAATCAGAAGAGGATGTCAAACCTCCTCCTTCTTTGATTATAGACTCACAGCCAAGTGAGAACGTAGAACAAGAGGAAGATCACCAGTTGGTGCACATTATGGAAAGGTCTCCTTCAACGTCAGTATCTTCAGTTGACATGAGAGTTATGATGTCTCCCTCTCCTGTGCCAAGAAGAGATGAGTTTTTTAGGCTTGAGGTTGGAGAACGCTTTAGACCGATGTGTGGGTATGACCCACAGATGTTGCAAATGCTGAAAGAAGAGCATCAAGTAATATTAGAAAATCAAAGAAAAATTGGGCTTTATGTCCAAGAAAAAAGAGATGGTTTGAAAAGAAAGCAGCAGCTGGAGGAAGAACTGTTGCGAACAAAAATCAAAGTAGAGAAGCTAAAGGCAATACGACTACGCCGCGATCTGCCAGAATACAGCACTATCTAAATATTTTATTACTTCTGCCACATCCCTTGGAGTACTTAATAATAAATGCTTTTGCCCTAGTGAAACTGTTCCTTATGTTAATATGGTCTTGAAAGATGAAAGCCTGTTTTCCATGTTGTTGTTTACGTACCTTAATAAAAACACCTTGTATGGGTTTGAGTGCATAAACTCTTCTGATCTGAAGTATAATCAAATCATATAGACTTAAGGATGGTGAGAATCCCAGTTTCTTAAATATTTCAACTTATCTCTAATAGAATTGCAGAAAGCAATGTAGGCTGGTTCTTTTTCAAAATTTGATCATATGCATTATTTTTTTCAAATAATTACCAATCCTTTATTACCTTAACGAACTTACTACTTAAGTAAACATATAAAAAGGAGGAGTAAGAAGCTATGTTTAAATATGCTCTGCTTTTCATGTTGGTAAATTTTGTGACAGTGGTGAAATTTTGCTGATGTATCAGCTTGGAAAACAAAAGTACTGGATTGTTATATTTTTTTAATGTTCAGTAGACAGTTGAATAAATGTACATCTTTTAAAAAGTTAATACTTTTTAATATTGTTTTCAGTGGATGAGTGTTTCCATAGGATATTATGAAAATAGAGACAGTGAATGCAACAATTCAATTTTAAAAGTGCATGCATGCATAATTTGTGTGTACAGTTACCATGATTGTATATTCTCTTAGAGTAATTATACTGGTCCTCAACCAGAGAAGTCTAATAAGCTCACTTGCATGCATAATTACTGCAGTGCATGTGCAACCAAGACAGTTGCATGTGCCTTTGATCGATATCAATATGACTGTAAGCTATCAGAATGGAATAGCTTCTGTATGTAAGTTATGTGACTCGAAATCAACAGAAGATTCTTTGTTATTCTTGGTACCTTTTATAAATGCTGTTGTTCTGCTCCTTTGATTAGTTTCAAATAAAAAGCCCAAAATGAAAAAGATTATTCTGTCTGTCCTGGAAGCAGCACTTTCCTCTGCATTTGTGATCAGCATTCATAACTGGAAGAAATATACTGGCAAGCCTAATTCCTTAACAATTAATTTCTTTGTAATTCTTGGTCTCTTGCCTGTTATGAATAGATCCACAACTTCCTTAGACCTCTGGCTCCTTATCCCCTGTAGCAACACTTTTTCCTTCCTCCAAGCTGTAGTAAAGGAAAAGGAAATTAAGCCAGCAACAAGGAAAAAGCGCGAGCAAAGGAAATGTAATTCTTTCTGTTTCTCCTATCTCAGAGGGCTCCAAAAATAGAAAGTATAAAAGCAATAGGAAGAATGTTTTTTCCTGCAGCTGCTTGTTACTCTCAATCCTGTCACAGTTGTCCCAACTCTCCTTCTTTCCCCATTCCCACAGAACCTTGGTGTATGAGTACAGGGCACTGGTGTGCCTTAGCAGGCTGTTTGAAGGTAAACCACGCTGCTCGTCAGACTTCTGAGTGAATCAGGTTACCTTTGTAACCTCGGGGATAAATGCTTATTAAAAACTAAGGGCTGGAACCATGTAACTTAGTTCAGGGACTAATTGAGCTTAAAGCATTGTAGTTAAAATTTTATAAGAGTGGTGAGAGAGAAATCATCTTGACTTTCAGTGCTTAGAACAACTTCAGCAGGTTACAGGAGGAAAACTGAGGAAAAATACAGATTGTGAAAACAGATGACATCAGTACAGAATTGCTCCATGCTTTTCCAGTTGTGTGGCAGAGAGAAAAGTCCTTCAAGGATCGGTTCTTTTGGGAGTTTCTGCGTGTGCTTGCAATGATGATGTCTGAATGAGTGGCTTCTGTTTATGTACAGCCCTTGGCTTGCTTCTGCCTTTTTCAGTTCAAGGACATTGATCTGTTTTTGTATAGTTAGTAACACTTCAATGAGACATTCAGTTCCCTGAGTTTACAAGAGTCAAAATCTTGGCTTTAATAAAAACTTTATTAAACATAACATCTTATTTGTTCTACTTTGCCATCTGAAGTGTGGCTTCTCGGAAATGGGTAACAGCACTAAATTTCCTGCACTTATAGTTTGGAAATGCCTGATTTTTCTGTTGAAAATCAGAATTTTAGTTTCTGGTGGAAAACAATAAATTCCTGTTATTGTTTCTGCAATTTGACACCTTTTTCTAGTCTAGAAAATAATTCCCAAGTGGCTTAATATCTTACAATATTTTTAAATTATATCTAGCCTTATTTTGGCCACGAAAATTCTCCGCAGATGTTTTTTAATATTTTGGGTTGAGTTATCCATTCCCTTTGAGATAGTTTAAGAGGTGACCTCCAGGGACTCTGGTGGTGTGGTATTTTTATTTCTAGAACTGGAACTGGAAGAATTTCCAGTCTTTGAAAGCTTGTAATCCTTCCTGAACTGGAAGGCAAACTAGATGCATTGATTGTGGGTAGAGCATATTGCCCGTTATACTGCTGATAATGGAGGGCAAGGGATGCAGATGAATAAAGAAATAATAAAATGCACAGGCCTGGTCAGAACTCTCTCCCTCTAATCATATTTCTGTGTTTGGTTGTTCTAGCTTTGTCTCTAATTTTGTTTGTGGAAGGCCTCTCATTCTAACTTGCAAACAACATCTCTCGTTCTGAGATCTCATGCATTTAGTTTTCTTTGCTCTCTGCTGTGTTTCTTTTATTTTTGATTTTTTTTGGAGGGGTTGGGGAGGAGGATCTGTGGGGAAGATCTCTTGAATCCCATAGTAGTTTGCTTGCTTCTTGTGCCTTGTCAGTGACATCAGTGCAGTGCGGTATGGTGCTGACTCTGTTATGCCTCCCCATGCTGATGGATCTGTCTTTTCTTTCTCACCCCACATCTGTTTCTCAGTATCAGGTTATCTGTCTGCGTCAGACTTTGCACTTCTCAGTGCCTGTTCTCAGGTTTTTTTATGTATTACTGATGCGGAGACGTGCACGTACAGCTGTGGCTGAGTCCTTCTGGACCTTAAAGTGCTATGAATTTTTACTGTTCCAGCAAATTATATTCCATTAGCATGTGTGAAAGGGATGGTTTGAAGCCCTTCCCTCCTTCACCCCCATTCTTATCCTTCTGTTCCCTTTGCTGTATCTGGCAGTGGCATTCCCTGTCTGCATGTTTACAAAGTACTGTGTACAAGCAGAGTAATTTTAGGCAAGGGCAAATTTCTACCATATGTTCATGTCCTTCTACTAAGTTAACTGAAATAAACAGGCTCTGGGAGTACTTTTTAATTCTCAACATCTAATGATTTTATTTTTTTAGGATTAGATTAAAAAACTACAACTGTGATAACCTTGTGATCACTGTGATAACATCTTGTGTAACTTTATCCATCTGAGTAATTGTCTAATTATCAGTCTACACTCTTATCAACTGTTCCCTAATTATCTTTTCCTCTTCCCTCCCCCAAGCTCCTCCAGCATTGTCTTGTTGGCTGTGCTTGCCCTATATCAGAAGCATTATCGGGTAAAAATGGCAGAAAGGAGAGGTACTTCAAGACCAGCAGAGATTACTTTCAGCACATCTTGCACTTATATTCCTCTCTTCTAGTATTCTCCACCTCACTAGTTTCAACTGCTGTCTTTCATTTATATTTCCACGTATTTTCTTGCTTGTGAATGCATAGACTAGAGCTCAAATATTTTGTGTCCTTGTGATTTCCAATAGGCAGAGCCTTTATATTGCTTGTAATTATAAAAGAATTGTTTCTAAATAGGAGGAACAAATGGAGAATTGTGACGCTCAATTTTGCTTGACAAACTGTCTTTCCACAGTTCAAATATAACACATTTTCACAGGGTGATTGAATCTCATGTTGATGAAGTTCATAATATTGCCCAAGGCTAGAGAAGGAGATTGTAAACATAATTAGTTTTTTTCTTTTTCCTTTTTCTTGAAAATTATTTGTGCTCCAAACTGCATTATAGAAAGGTTAAACCTAACAGAACTTCACGTAAATTTACCCCAGGACATTCAGATGTTAAGCTATGGTGTTTTTAAAAGCTTAAAGGTAGAATTCTTGCATCTGATACCTACAGTGCTAAAGTTGTTGAAAACGTTAGTTGTGATTTCTTCATATATGGGGATGGATAAGGGACAGGGAATCCACAGCAGTGTGCAAACATTGACTCTCTCCAGTGTTCTTGTCCTTCTCAAGTGCTGTGGGGTTGCATAGTGTTTTATCCCTGTGATTGCACGGAATGATTTGCTGACCCATCCAAAGATTTCTGGGTGAACTTGACACCTTGCCTGACCCTATATTAGTCACACATGAGGAGTATTGTTATTCCATGAGGAATTCCTTGAGGGGATTTTTATTCCATATTTAATCAGCAGTTACTCTACATTCCTTATGATTTCTGCTTGCTCTTCAGCAAAACTGCAGACTTGAATATCGTGCTTCAAATTGTACTTGATTTTCATCTTTAGTTAGCATAATCACAATAACAATGATAATTTAACAAAATACATCTAAAAAAGTATTTCTCTGGACTGTGATGCCCATCTATATGCTGTTGATGTCAAGGTCTGGTTTGGTCAAGGCTCAATCATTTTGTATACAGCATCCTGTGAGCTGCCGTTTGCATACCGTGCATGGCTTTGTGTGATCCTTGTGTATTGTTAGTGCTTTCTCAAATATGTCTCTTTTAACATTCTGTGTGCTTGAAATAAGTGACTTTACAAATTGTCAGTTATCTTTTTAGATGTAATTGAACGGTGAAATGGTAGGACAAAGCCCTGACCTAATGTAGGGGGTGGGGGAGAAGGGATTTTGTGCTGTTTGTGGTTAGTTACGGCAATGTTGTTTCTCCTGTGTTAAAATCTGCTGCAGTGATTTCAAGTTATAATGTTATTAATTGATGATGAGATCGTGCTAAAGAAAGTAAATTATCACAACTCAGTAGCAGTTTTAAAAATGTTACTTAGTCCACTTGTAGCTACTGTTAACACAATTCCCTGGAGTTAATCTACGGTGTGTATCAGAAATACAGAATTAAAATGGGACATGCTATAGATCCGAAGTCCGTATAAATATTAGAATAAAATTGAATATTAGAATTAAAATATAGATATCAATAGCAGTTGCTATTACTGTTGATATATTCTAAATCATAATATGGCTGCCCAGGGAGGTGGTGGAGTCGCCGTCCCTGGCAGTGTTCAAGAGGCATCTGGATGATGTGCTGTGTGATATGGTTTAGTACCAGTGGTGGCAATGGTGATGAGGAGACAGTTGGACTGGATGATCTTATAGGTCGTTTCCAACCTTGTGATTCTATGATTCTATGATTCTATGATTCACTTTGGGGTGCATGTGTAAGCCAAAAAAATCAATTTTTGTTTGACTTGTGAACTCTGCGTGTTTCATCCAAGTGATGTTTGTGTTGTTTTTCATTGTAATCATAGAATATTAAGGTTGGAAAAGACTTCTGAGATCATCCAGTCCACCCCTCCACCTACCACCAATACTGCCCACTGAAGCATGTCCCTGCATACTGTATCTACCCTGAAACACCTCCAAGGAGAGTGACTCCACCACTACCCTGGGCAGCCTTTTCTAACACCTCAACGCTCTTTCTGAGAATAAATTCTTCCTGGTATTCAATCTGAATCTCCTATGGCACAACTTGAGGCCATCCTATCTCTGTTACCTGGGATAAGAGCCTGACCCCCACCTCACCACAACCTCATTTCAGCCAGTTGTAAAGAACGATAAGGTCTCCACTGAGCCTCCTCTCCTCCAGACTAAACAAACTCCATTCCCTCAGCTGCTCCCCATAAGATTTGTGCTCCAGAGCCTTTACAGCTTCTCTCTGGATATGCTCCAGGTCCTCCATGTCTTTCTTATAGTGGGGGGCCCAAAAAAAAGTACTTGAGGCGAGGCCTCACCATAGTTACGTACAGGGGGACAGTATTGTAGATGGGCTTTGGCAGTAGGTTGTCTGTGTCAATGGACTTCCATATAACACTGGTAGTGTCTACTTTCATTTTGGCCAAACCGTTTTATGCTGGGTTACCCCATCTCATGTGTGTGTGCTATAGCTTTTGTTTATGTTATCTCAAAGCAGCTCAGCTTTGTTTCTGTGAACCAACTTGTAGGCACAACTCATTGTTTTGTATTAAATTTTGATGATCCTTCCTTTGTAGCATTCTCGTTTCTCTGTGCTTTTGAAAAAGTACTGACATTTGGCATTAACATGGTCTGTGGCCATTCCTATAAAGGCTCTCTCCCATTTAGCTAATTCATAATTCATTAATGAGCACAGGTTGTGGTCATTTGCAGTAAGTCTTTAGTTACAGACCCTAATAAATGAACTTTTTTCAGAGTCTGTCCTAGTTGGGCACAGTGAATTGTTGAGAGCCCAACAGTGATTTCTTAGCACAAAAGAAAGCAAGATTTGTCTCTAGATTTGCCCAGCCATGCATTGACAGTGTAGTGAGTTTGATGAGTAGAATGTGTGGATTTTGAGTGCTTTGGCCCTTCTGACAGGACAGCTCCAGAGTTATGGAACTGGAACCAAACAGCCTGTGGCTTGGCTCTTCTGTGAAAACTTCAAAACCAGCAATACACTGGAAAATATAATTTGTATTTATGTGGTTCAGAGTGCTGCACAGTGGGTGTGCAGACGAAGGCTGAATTAAGCTTGCTTAGGGAATTTAGCCACTGTTGTTTGTTATAATTATTTCTGATAGATAAAATTCTTTCCTTTCAGAAGAGTTTTTACATAACTGTTATATAACTGCATGCTAATTTACTGCAGTTTAGTTTTGAAAATCCTGAATCAAATTCTAAGATGGTACGAGAGATGTTTCTCAACAGAAATATATTTTGGTGGTTTTGGATAGGTTACCTCTGAAGATGTAATGGGCAGCTGTAAAGATTGTTTTCAGGTGAAATACAGCAGAGATTAAGTCAGTCATTTGTCTGTCTCATCCTTTTCTATGCGCATGTACATCTGTACCTGCACACTTACACATACTCCATATGATAGTTTGATA